AGTTGTTTTCGAAAATTCAATTATCTGGCACCAACATCAAAAAAGTAATTTGTAAAAAAAAGGAGATTTGGTAATATATTCTTAAGGTGAGTAATCGCGTTTTTATAATTCATGCTTATTAATTTTATTAACTCTAATTAAAACGTTATATTTAATTAAATCATGGGAATTTATTGATAATAACCAAGATGATAATTTAGGAAATCTTATTTCGATCATATGGAGATCCATCAATTTATAGTCTCATTCAAATTTCCTATAATTTTGAATAAATCAAAAAATCCTTTTTATTAATTTAGAGTTTTAAATTATAGTGCAATGCTGCGGAAACAACAATAATTGCTTCACAATAAATTTTATTTTATGAAAAAGATAAAAAATAAAAATAAATAAATAAAATAGAAATTTTTTCTAGGAAAATAAAGTTTTACATTAGATAAATTTATTTATTTGCAATTTTAGAAAGGGTAAATCTTACGAATAGTAATTTTAGACTAGGTTAAAGTTCCAGTTACTTTAAAAAATTACTTCGTTTTCTACTATGATTCTTAGCACTTTAATTGCAAAAGTTCTTTTTTAATATGAAATAGTTTCATTTTAAACTATATTTCAAATGAGTCTTTAAAATATGCAAGGTGTATCATAAAGATCACAATTAATATTTATTTTAATACAGGCTAAATTCAAAAAACACCAACTGACATACAATTGATTAAAAAAGTTCTATTACCCTTCTTTAAGGAGGTTTTTTGATTGGATTTGTAGTGAGGATTAAATTAAAACACTGCATCAACTAAAATGACATAAATAAAATGTCCAATGATGTGTCTAAAAAGTAACTGGCAACTTCATAGTTTCTTTTAAAAAAAACTTCTAAAAATCTTCTAAAAAGGTCACTAACGAAATGCAAAGTTCTGTTTAATTTTTTTAAAAGTCTCCAAAGCTCTACCTATATCCATTTACACGATATTTTTTTCAAAATTTATGCTAATATGGGCCTCAATTGCTAGAATCAGCAATATTGAACTTCAAAAAGTATAAAATTTTTATTGAAACAAAAACTACTATACAAAGGAAACTTAAATCAATTTTCAGTTTGAAAACTTTTTCTTTGTATTTTAAGGACTAATAGCATATTTTTTTAAAGCACTTTCCTGTTTTTATAGTCTCCAATGACGTATGATCCAATTAAAATTAAAATTTGTAATTCAAAATTTTCTTCAATATATTTGCTTTTGAACATAAGAGCCAGTTTTGTGCTTCCCAATGCTAATATCAATTGTGAGTTTTCTAATACATTTGCATATGGTACCAATAACTTTTGTGCAATTCGAAAAATTAGTTCTTAACCACTAGTGAAAAACTGTAGTTTTCATTCGGAGTTTTTATGTTCTTATTCACATCTTATCCTTTATGGTTTCACAAATTATAAGTGAATTATTATTCTAAAATTTAAAATATACAAAATTGCTTTTTCTTTCACTAATAAACAATTCACCAATAATAGTAAATCTCCAAACATAGATTAAGTGTTCTAAAAATTATTTATTAATTAAATGTAATGTAAAAAAATTACGTGTAGTTTCATAGCTTCCAGATGGTGCATTTTATGTTTATTTACAGTTTAAATATCAATTTTAAATCTATTCAAATACAAAATAATTATCTTCGCTTCCTGCTTTAAATAATAAATCAAAAAAGATATCTGTAATTTTCATATTTGACCTAAAAATGCCAGAAAAAAACAAAGTGAATCTGTGGTTTCGAAAAGCACTGAAGTAGCATTATTTACTACTTATGCTTAAAGACGCATATCGAATTTGCAATGTGTATTCAATTTAATTTCTTTGTTTCGCAATTATAAGTGTGTTATTTTAGTTCTTTTAAAAAGAATAATTCTATTTAAAGTATAACAAAACATAATTCAATGTGTCACGAAGTAGTTATGCCATTTTATTTAGGTATGGTATCTTTACTTCAGTACTAGAATTATACTGGGACATATATATTAGGGTGCAAATGTTTAGGTTTGGCACAGTACAGATGTAACTAAAAATATTGTACTGAATTAAAAAAATTTTTTTGTCAATCCTAACAAATTTATTGAAACTATTTATACTCTTTCAGTTATATAGGATTTTTCTGTCTAAATAAAATGCATATTTAAAAGTAATTAAGGAATTGAAATTTTGATTACTTTTTCTACCTAAATAAAATATCTATTGAAAAGCAATTAATGAACCAAAATTTTGATTACTTTTACTGTTTAAATAAAATGTATACTGAAAAGTAACAAATGAATTGAAATTTTGGTTAGTTACAAATTCCTATAAATGTATTAAAAATATATAAAGCACTTTTTTATATTTTTTTCTTTTTAGATTTAGACTTTTCACGCTGAATGATAAGCGAACAATAACTAAAAAATACTCAAAATCCAACCCAACGATTTGAATATCAAGTTGAATTTTTAATCGCATTTAAATTAAATATTGGCCAGTTATCATAATAAATAGTTTTAAGTATCAAACACTTACGTTGCTTCTTAACGTATTTAAGAAATTGTATTTCCTAATTTTGAAGTTTTTGTTAAACAATTAATAAAAATTTAAAGTAATTTAGCCAGTTTACAGGAGAAAACGAAAGAGGAAAACGAAATAATATTTTAAAGGTCGAAGAGTTTTCCCCCCGGAAATAAACATCTGGTGAAACTGATTTCAAATTACTTTTAGTTTAAGAGGAGGGGGGGAGGTATAGGGGAGAGTGGGGTCAATTGTAACATTTTTTACTTAACTATTTTTAACTAACAAAAAATCCAATATATTATTAGTATTAATTGACAGACGAGTAAAGTAGACTATCCTCTACTAGAAAAAAAAATAAATACCTTATTTTAAATGTTATTATATTAGTTATTAACAATTTTTGACAGTCGTGCACTTGTTACAATTGTCCCCACTTACGGGGTCAATTGTAACAGTTCATAAATTCAACTAAAACATAGTTAATTATACATATTATCATAGTTGTGATATATTTTTTTATTGATCAAAATAGTAGTGATATTTTAGGAGTAAAAATAATAATGAGCAGAGACCTAAAGGGTTAAACTTTTAACTTTAAGGGGTTAAAAATTTTAATTTATGCTGTGAAAGGTGACAAATAAAATAATGCACATGCAACATAATATAAATGATATAGGAAACTATTGGTGGTTCTTAAAGAGTTAAGTAATGGTTTGTAAACATAAGATTATTTATTTTCAGCTGTTACAATCGTCCCTTTACTTATTGTTACAATTGTCCCCAAGACGCCATTTCAGCTTCATTTGTTAAAAACAATGCTAGTTAATTAGCAAAACTAATTTTTTTTTTATTGAAATGTTAATTAAGGTGTCCACTTACATATTCGGTTACTAATTTTTATTTGTTTAAACAAAATTACTTTGTTACGATATAATATTCTAATACCAAAAAAAGTACTTGCGTGGCTTGAAAATATCTTTTGTGATGTAACTCTTTCAAAAGTACATAAAAATGGTTGCCATCAGGGGTGTACATGTAGATTTATTAAATACACCTTGTGCGTCAAATCTAGAACCCCACACTCGAAATTTTTGCTCTGTTACAATCGTACCCTGTTACAATTGCCCCCACTCTCCCCTACTCTTTTTTTTCTAATAGTTGCTAATTAGAAAAACTTATCTGAGAATACTCAGATAATGAAACACTAATTTAAAAAAAATATAAAAAAACTAATTAAATCAGCTTTAAAATGTATTAAAACAATAGGAGGTTGATTACAAAATATCTTTTTGGAGACACTTCGGTACCATACAACAAGAAAATTTGACGAACAATATTTGAAAAGTGACATCCAAGATTAATCATGTTAATTATGACGTAAATATTATAAAATAAATAAATGATTTTTGTTAATCAAAACAATAAGCGCAGCAGTAACATCACAATGACAGGCGTATCTAACAATCTCAATCAAACGTGGTGATAATTCATCCTCACACAAACTAGTCAAAATAATTGTGTTGTATATTGCGACTTGAGATCAAAGTAATGTCAAATGAAAACTTTGAAGTAATAGAAAGCAGTTTTCCCGGAACAATCTGACCCCAAACAATGAAGGTTTTCCATTAAGGCATCTGATTTTGATTTCATTCTGAAACGGTTGCAAGAGCGAGGAAACATTTCTGATTAATACTTGTTGCACACAATCAGGATTTATAAAGAAATACGGGGACTTTCATAGCTTTTATTACCTCGACTAGCCCTTTGTATAATAATCTCACATTTTTCGAACTTTAAGTTGTTTACTTTAATTCCAAGAATTAAAATAAATAAATAATCATAAATCGGCTTCTTACCATACCGATGAGAAAATAGAAATATAAATTTTCAATGAGGAAATAGCCCGTAGCATCAAATATTGCTGCTCAGTTTTAGCTTATTATTATTACATGGTTATTTTTGCCAGTATTCACCTTTTCCAGAAAAATTGAAATTTTACCTGTCGTAATTTCTCTGTTTATTTTGCGAAGAAATGTATATAAAACTTATTTTTTATTGAAAGAAAATCTGATATATATATAAATATATCAGATTTATATATATATCAGATTTATGTTCTTTATGAATAAGTTTCTTTATTCATAAAAAAAGAAACTTATTTATTATTGAAACAAAATTTATAACAAATTTTGTTTCAATAATAAATAAGTTTCTTTCTTTTGTTTATGTATTGAACTTTGCTTCAAAGTAAATTTAACAAATATCAAATTGCTATAGAAAGAATAAAAGAAGTTATCTTTTTAAATAAAATGAAGAAAATTAATAATACGAGAGAGTTAGAATAGTATAAATTAATCTCCCACAATAGTTTATACATAAATTATGATTGATGACAGAACTCTAATTTCTAAGAGTACAAATAAAAACGATTCATGAGAAAACTAATCACCATAAAAATTAGCATAAAAATCTTACCGTGTTTCTAAAACGATAAATATATTCCTTTCATGTTTTTGTTGTTAAATTTGAATAAATTTCATTCTTAAATCACTGTATCCATTGTATTCAAAGCGGAAATTTGCACATGATAAAATTACACACTCAATTTTGAATTTCACTATTTGTTGACACTTTCGATTTTATTCCAGTCTCACAGCTGATCAATTTACATGAAGACGTTTACCCGAAACATACCTCATCCCGTCACACACAAACTCGTTTTCTTGGATGGAATGATTTACTTTGGAAAGCGTGCTTCATCCACTACCTTTACTCGAGCGAGAAGTTGTGACAATCTTTCTATTGGGTGAAGTTTAGTTGCCATAAATTCCCATAGATGGCGTTAAATAATAAAGGATTTTATTCATTCACGGAAACGGATGAATACAGGTGTTCTTTGTTTACTAACGAATGACAGTCTGTCATTTATGCTGGTATATCAAACTGTTTGTAAGTCCGCCTTTTCTTTCATACGACTTGAAGCATTATAGTAAACATGCTGGTATTAAAAAAAACATGGATATTTTTAATACTTTATTCAGATCGAGTACTCACGTGTTAGTTGTATTTTTTTTTTAAAAAAATTTGATAAATTTGATATTTTTTTAAAATGAAAACGAAAAAATACAATCTTTATAAAACATAAAACTTTTAAAATGTTTATGAAAGATAACATATTGGTATTAAAATATTCATGGATATTTTTAATACTTTATTCAGATCAATTACTCATGCGTTAGTTGCAATTTTTAATTTTTTTTTTAATTTGATAAGCAAAGATATTTTTTTTAATGAAAACGAAAAAATAAAATTTTTATAAAACATAAAACTTTCAAAATGTCTATAAAAGATTAAGGCTTTTTAGAAATTACTCAAAAAAAAAAAAAAAAAAAAAAAAAAAAAAAAAAAAAAAAAAAAAAAAAAAANTTGATACGCTATTTTTTTTAAATGTATAGTTTTAAATTGAAATAAAAGTTATAAGTCTTTGAGCAAATGATCACCAGATTTTCATTTTTTTAACATTTTTATCTGTGTTTCTCATCAGAACACAAGAACTAGAAAAAACTAGAACGCGTATTTATAATTAAGGAAATGCAGCATTATCTGAGTCATGGGTTGTAGCAGATCACTACAGTGATTTGGAATTCATCAAGCTCATCATCAACGTTATGAGTTTATTATTGCTATTACATATTATTAGCATCATTAAACTGTCATCATAACATTAATGTCACATTTTTAGATCCAGAAGAGTGTATATTTAAATCTGGAATATCCAATTACTGTTCAAATTAGTCAATCGTTAATGATATGCGTTTTTTTTCTTCTTTAGACTTACTTTATTAAGCAGAAACAACTTTTTTTTGTGATTGATAATCAATTGAAATGAATCGAATGAATTGAAAAAATTAAGCTTACTAACTGTTAAAACTGTTAAATGTAGAAGTAAAAAAGTAAAAAATACAATGCCAATTTTTTTTCCATTTAAATATTTAAAAAAATTTTTTAGTTAGGATCTAACCTATTTAGCTTAATTTCCGACTAACTAATCCTTTAAAATTATCTCAATTTCCTTGACTGATAAGAATGTTGCCCAATATTCATATTCAGTTAAAAGCCAACTGTCTAATGTCTGTGTTAGTTTTGATGTTAAACGTTTCAAGAATTTTTCTCTTTTTAAGAAAGTATTCAAAAATAAATAATAAAAAAATTTTGACTTATTTTTTAGGACTAAGCATTCTTTTTAATAAAATCAAAAAATAAGTGCGAATTTCTTAATAAACTATTAAACTATCTTAAAATGTTAAAAACAAATAAAAGCCATAAATTTAAAAATGAGTGATTGTAGTTGAATGCGTAATTGTTGCTAAAATTGAGCTGCATTAGAATTTTAAAATACTTACGAAAAGATTAATAATGCAATAAAATTCAATATAGCATTTTTTGTTTTCGTTTTTCATGTTTAATATTGATTTTTATGCCTTCTTCGTGAAGTGAAAAAGTACTTACAAAATATTCCATTAAGACCACCTATGCTTTATATGTACTTAAAGGTACAGTATGAACAAAAATAAAGTACACACATCAGGGTCGCAAATTAATATTTAACCGAGAAAAAACAAAAATGCAACCAAAATCTGACAAATACATCTGACACAGTACAGTAAGGCAAATGTTATCAATGTAAACAACAATGTTACATGCTTCTTGGGATTATTTATTTAAAAATATGCGAGGCTTCATTGAGAGAGAAAGCACAGAGGAGTTGAAAGACGATTATTAGAAACTTTTATCCTCTAATTCAACCTTTTTGATGTTTATTACATTTGGTTTCCTGTACTTTTGTTTGTCAGATTCTTTAACGGTTTTGCTTTTTCAACGGATAAATATTAATTTACGACTCCCAGTATGCACATTTTTTGTTTTAAATTTTGATTTGGATTCTAGAAATGTATATACGGGATGGTCTCTATGAAGCACCCTGCATATGACACAAATCGCAAGAAAAATGCCGAGATAGCCTGGTCGGTAGGGCGCCGGGCCCATGTCCGAGTGTTCATGGGTTCGAATCCTGCCGGCCGATGACTCCCTGTGTAGTAATGTGACTGATGCACGTTAAATCTGTTGAGTCGAAAAAGTCCTCCATGTTCCCGTAACAAATCAATACTTCTGGGTGTACTGGATTGGAGATCGATCGTTCTCTGATTCAAGTCAAAATTACGATCTGTGGATGAATGAATGGATGTATGAATGGGTCTGTGCGACGAATGGTGTGGCAGAAGTCGAATTCTTGGCCATAGATGGCGCCACTGAAAAACAAGAAACGCACACTCTGCCTTAAATTTGCTCGGTTTCACCAAGCAGGCTTGTCCATGTGGCAAGTTGCATTAGAAACAACAACAAAAAAAACACAAGAAAAATACTTAATCAATGTGTAAGTGCATTAATAAGTCCCGCAGTGGACTGATCGTTAAGACACGGTTCCCAGCAGATCACCGAAGTCAAGCATCACTGGTTGCGGTCAGTGTGCGTGTGGGTGACCACTTGGATCAGTCTGCGTAGGGACCGAGGGTGTGCGGTATGGGTCCTCGTTAAAACTGTGCAACCGTAAAATGCTCAACTTCGCGTGCAGGTCGTCGGGCTACCGAAGCGGGGTTGCCATCCCCTCTGCAGAGGATCAAAATTGTGATGGCATGTCTTCGGATCATCCTCAGGGATGTTTCCCAGACCGTCACCAATAGCCCATTGTGCAGCTCTAGTGTGACGTAAATAAACTACAACTACAACAACAAAGCAATAATTAATTATTTTCATTTATAGTGAACTATAGCCTGTTAATGAAATTTTGTAAAATTAAATACTTGTTGTCGTGTAAATTTTCTGTAGCACATAAATTATTTTTTAAATTGCTCTTACAAAATTTAAAATGAAAGAATGAATAAAAGCTAAGAAGTTTTAATTAATTAATCAGTTGTGATAAATGTCGAAAGAAAAAGAAAAAATGAAAAGAAGGCCAGAAAAAATGTCTGTATTAGTGGATTGTATTATGGTGTTAAATTTGAGAAAGACTCGGATGAAATTTATCGAACTCTTAGGCTATAAATGCTTTTTTGAGGAGGAAATGCAATCTAAAATCTGCAAAATATGATTCTATCCATATGTTTTTATTAAAAATGGGCTATAACTTTCCTATTTTTACTTTATAGCCTTTGGAAAATACTCTAGAAATATACTACAATAACATTCTGTGTGTTATATAAAATCATCTACAAAAGATAAAATTAAAGAATAACAATAATACATGTTTTCAAATTTTGTAGCTATGTTGTGTTATTCATGCAAAAACTATCGTCATTTTTCGAAATTGACCAAATTTTTGCAAAAAGTGGAACACTGATCCAAAAAATTATTAATTAAATCAGCATCCACAATCCTATATATTGCATAGAAATATAAAAGCATTAAAAAATTGGATATGGTTAATTTATCAAACGACAAAACAATAAAATCTACTAAAATATCCGCAAAACTTATCAAATAAAGCATAAAAATATTTCTCAAATATTTGTAAATGTCCGAATGCTCGTTAATAGTCGAGCATTTCTAGAACATTAAACTAGCATCCACATTTATGTATATTTAAAAGAATAAAAATAGGCAAAATATTGTGTAATTATCATTAATCGATAGTCAAAAGATGACAATAAAATCTACAAAAATATCTGCAAAACTCATCGAAGAAGCATAAAATCATTTCTCAAATATTCATAAATAGCAGAGCATTTCAAAATCACTAAACCGTTATCCACATTTTTGTATATTGCAAAAAAAAGAAAAAAAAAGAAAAGAAAAAAGAAAAGAAAGAAAGAAAGTATTAAAAGCATTGCATCATGATCATTAACCAAGCGTCAAAAATAATAATAAAATCTACAAAAATGTATGCAAAACTTATCATATAAACCATAAAAACGTTTCCCAAATATTCGTAAACAGACTAATATTCCTAGATAGCAGAGAATTTCTAAAATATTAAACCATCATCCACACTTTTGCACTTTGCAAAGAAAAAGTATTCTAAATATTGTGTAATGATCAATTATCAAGCGTCAAAAATTAATGATGAAAATCTACATAAAAATCTGCAAAACTTATCAAATAAGGCATAAAAACATTTCCCAAATATTTGTAAACGAAAAAATATTCTTAAATTGTAGAACATTTCTAAAGCATTGAACCATCATCTAATCTTTTGCATCCTGCGAAGAAAAAAGTATTGGAAATATTGAGTAATGATCATTAATCAAGCGTCAAAAAATATAATTTACAGAAGTTATCAAATAAACAAGATGATTATTTCTGCCTCAATTACTCTACACTTCTTTTATTAAAACTAATAAATAACGATATCATCGTTTGATTCAGTCTCCTATTGCCCCAGGACAAATGTCCTCACCATTGTACGGGAAATTCCAACGAAGCATGAATCCTCGACATTCATGAATTCCGGTCAAAATATGAATTCGTGTCTGTAATAATCGTGAGTAACGACGTCGCCCTGGGGCACGCACCCTTCCCGTAATTACTCTCTTTCGTTTTCTTTTTTCGAATTCTGGATAAGGGTGTCGTTTATTTCGGTCTGTCAATAACCCTTACCTGTCTCTCAATTATTAGAACATGAAAATTCAATGCCAAGGCTATACGAAACATTATTTTAAAGCTGCTCTACTAAGATAAAGATAACTATGTTTAACAGATAATGATTATACATACTTACAACTATGAAATTTTGAACAAAACATTAACAAAGTGTTTGCTTTCATCTGTGCTATTCTATTTCGGGGTATATTAGGAATATTTTTTTGGAAAGAAACTA